TTCCAATACATTTTTAGGATTTTTTAAAAAATCAAGTGGAGCATTTGGAATCAAGTCAAATTTCTCCTGAAATTTGGGTGTCAGAGGCACTAAAAGTGTCAGAGAACTTAACACTTAAATTATGGCATTTGTGTGACCATTAAAATGACCTTGAATTTACTGGAGAATTTTTATGCTTTTCTGTTTTATATTTCTTCTGAACAGCATCGGCTGATTCATAACATCATTATTCAGTATAGAAATGCCCTTAATCCATTGTCAAATTTGGGAGTTTGGTTGTTGAAGGTATTGATTTTGTGTGTGTGTGTTCTGGAAAACAGATTTCTTTTACATTTTCTTCAAGCAATTAGATAGTGGATTTTGAAGAGAAACTTACAGAAGTTGCTTTTCCATATTTCATTTTCAGCCAAAAATATTGTTGATAATTATGTTCTGAAGGTCTGAAAATAGAGCAGTTAGTGAGGACAAGTCAAATTAATGTTTAGTGTTATCAAAATGCTTTATATTTTATATACACTAATATTTAGAAATAGATTTATTAGAAATCTTTATAAAAGAAATTTTAAGCTCCTTGAAGGCAATGTTACTAACATACTATTTATCTTCCTTTATAAATTGTGCTTCTTTAACAGTTGCTTTGGGGCACAAACAAAGAAAATTAGCAAGTACCTATTTTTCTGACATGATTTCTTAAGATTCTTTTAGAAAACGGATATACCTCTTTGGTGATATCTCCAATCAAATTTCTCATGACAGAAAAAGTGGTGACCTGGCAAATACTAAACCCATTACCACTTTTTGGTTATTTATGTGTCACTTTACCTACAGCAATGACTTCTTAATCTAAAAAAGAGGAATCTGAATGCTTTTCCTCTAAAGAGACTAACTTTGTTCAGTTTGTGTCTCCTTCACAGGGAAAGCTAGGTGATTTAACCTGAAGTATTTACCAGTTCTTCAGGAAAAGATGATTAGACTAGATTTCACTGTACCTACGAACTAGATTTTCACTTTTACTGAAAATAAAATGGAAAAAGAAATGAATTGGAAAAGGAAATGAGAAATTAACTTGCTGGTTATATCAGGCAACTCCTCATTCTTTTTCAAGGAAATCCTAAATTTAGAAATATTAGAATCATAGAATGGAAGAAAAGTCAGAGAATACTGAGTCCATCCCCGACGCCTTTGTTTCATAATCATTATGGCCACATCACCAAGATTAGAAACTGAAGTGGAGAAATAGAAGTCGACGAAGGTCTCACCGTTGGACTGGTTGGCCAGTCTGTCATGGTGACTAAACTCAGGGTTACTTTCCAAATCCTGCAGTTTGGGAGAGAGCCTACTAATGACTATGAAATGGGTGAGAGGACAAGGAGGAAGCTGAAGACCACTTAATAGGCTCAGTTTTGTTTTGTTTTGTTTTTTCCTGGCCAACGCATACATTATGCACATCTCATATCAAAACAATGATAGGATATTTCATGTCAGTGCTTTTCAAAAGTAAAGATTTTTATGTATTTACTGTGGTAGTCTCTAAAATGGTGCTTCAGCAAAATACGGACAATACATCATCTATACTTTGTTTTTTAATCTAATAAACAGATTACAATAAATGAGAAGAGGAATACCAATAATATCAAATCAGAAAAACAAGGCATTATTAAAATGACCTTGCCATTGACTTGGGATAGGTAGCTACTTATGAAGATGTCTGTCAACAGCTTACGAGGTGCCTAATGAACCACGGGAAGTGGAAAGGACATGCTGATGCCAAGGCATCATCTGATCACAACAATCGATTGCTTCGTGTGTTTGCTATTAGCTATTCATGTTTACTGACTTGTTTTCAAATAAAACAATTAATGTAATGTTCTTGGAATTCCCTTGTGATATGTCTGTTCTTTATTTAGACTCCAATTATGAATGGATATTAAGGAAGTTTGGCCCTGCTAAGTGACTTTCTTTTTTTTTTCATTACAATCAACCAGGAGTAGAGTTGTTTTCCTATTCTTTTGTTTTATTGTTTTATTCTTACATGAGGGCACATAGCACTTGAAGGGAGAGAAGAAGTAGTCTCCTCAAAGACCCCTTACTTGAGACATAAGAGGAAAAATCCCAAATCAGTTTCAGTCAAAAGATCATTGAGTAATCTTATTTTTCACAATGTTTAAAGCTATTATGAAGATTATGCCATACCAAATAGTAAATCCCCCTTGAAAGACACACATATTATTTGTAACAATGGAAATAAATCTGCCCTCTGGCAAGAATTATTAGTGTTGAGCCAGATACAGCCATTTTCATAGCTAAGGAGTTCCCAGCACTTCCCTCTGTAAAATAAGACGGGTGATAAATTTCCTCGACATAGAAAAATCTTCAGGTACACTAGTATTTGTATTAAGAAGTAAACAAAATGGATATTATATCATGAAAGCAATGATAACTACTTTCTCATAGTTGATTGCCAATATAGACAATATCTGGTCATTAACAAGAAAGAAAAAAATTAATTTTTCCTCCCACAGGTTCAGGATGCATTTAGATGCCGATTGAGAAACTGTCAGGATCCAATCAATGCTGATTCTTCAAGTTCTTTTCCTAATGGGCATGCTCAAATCATGGTGAGCTTTTATTTTCCCTCTGATTGTTAATTAAGTCATGACTTCTTAAAGAAATAAACAAATATCCTTGTTTGTAAAATCCAATTTTGTATGCCTTTGGAGTTCATGAAGAGACTTAGAACTCTGATACCAGAGAAGTATTCTTTCTGGGTTATCTGGAAGCCCAGAATCTGCTGATGGCTTCTCGGGGTGTTGAGTGTGGGGCTTTTACGCAACACCACAGAGTGTTTTCATCCTTGCAGAGAATTAGAGAGAATGATTTGTACATAGCATCATGCATTTTTTTTTTTTACAGATCAGAACACTATGCACCTGCCCATCTAGTCTTAAAGTGGTGGTTCTCAGCCTTGGTCACACATCAGAATCATCAGAGGAGCTGCACCTCAGACCAATTACAACAGATCAGAACACTATGCACCTGCCCATCTAGTCTTAAAGTGATGGTTCTCAGCCTTGGTCACACATCAGAATCATCAGAGGAGCTGCACCTCAGACCAATTACATCAGAATCTTGAGGGTGGGACCCAGAAACTGGTGATTTTAGTGTGCAGCCTAAGCTGAGAACCACTGTCCTAAAGCATAAGGGGTAGCCACCCCTCGAGTGAAAGTCAGTTATTGTACATAAACTCTGACTTGTTGCAATTAAGGGGTACTTTAGCCATAACCACTTTGGTGTATTTTAGAAATGAAGTAAGATTTAAACTGTGTCTTAAAAATCAGGGTTAAAAAGGAAAGGGTTTTTTTATATAATTTATTTGATTTATTATTAACTTTTTTGGACTAGGCAGCATAAAATAGGCTAAATGATGCATTAGCAACTAAGACTTGAGAAAGAATAATTAATTCCTTAATAACAATAAATAGATAACTACCAAAATCTGTTTTAAAATATTGATAGGGAAAGGCATATGATTGGAAGAACTTGATTAGGATGGGCTAATTTAATTTTACCATTAAAAAAATAAACTAATTTGTTTAAAATGAAATTTGGGGAAAACACAACAATGGAGCTAAACTCCGGCTGGTTCTAGACCCAATGAGCATTGTTTAATCTTCAATTTTAATTCCTTAACCTGATACCTTTTTCATATTCAAGTGAGAATAAATCATTGGAAGAGCCTTGCTTGACTATTATGTGTTTGACAAAGCTGTATTGTAAGATACTACATTATAAACAATATGTTCAAATTGAATGTTCAAAAAAAATGCAAATGACAAAAGCATTTATTTAAGTACATTCATAATAATGCACATTCTGATGTCTTTATTATGATTGAGGTCTTCATTAAAAGATGGTTCTTACTATTTCTCATTACAGACAGACTTTGAAAAGGATGTAGACATTGCTTGTCGATCGGGTAAGAATTTTTTAGATTTTGAAAATATAATCATTAAGGATGTTAAATTTTGATTTTAATGAAAATGCTGTGGGTTATGTATAATATATTCATGTGTATGGATAAATGGAACCTTCCAGATGGAAGCCTTGTACTAGCAGAAATATGTGTGTGAAGGGTGAGAGACAAAGAGAAAGACAATGAGAAATGAGCAGGAAACTAAGAATGGTTCATTGGTAGCACCGTAACAGCAGAAAAGCATTGACACAGAGACAGACTTCCATTCCACTGAGTAATGGTTGTTGGGTGTAAGGACAATTTATCCTCTCTGTGCCTCAGTTTCATCATGCATGAAGCATGGATTGTTACAAGATGAAATGTCATTGTGCGTGTGTGTGTGTGTGTGTGTGTATTATGGTTGTTGTTATATTTTTAGAGAGGACCAGGAGAAACCATGCAGCACACTCTGCCTTAGAATGTTAGGATCTCATTGATCTCAGAGTTGTCCTTCAGCCTATGGCTAAATTCTCAACAGAGTAGATGGTGTAAGAGTTTTAAAGGAAACCTACATGTTTTATTTTTTGGATAGTTCCAGTTGTTGGAAAATGTTCCTTTATACTAGAACAAAATATACTTCATTTTACCTTTTACTCATTGGTCTTAGTGTTACCTTCTAGAACAAGAGTCGGTATCTACTTCATCTAAATATCCAAATATTTGAAAACAACTATCATTTAGCTCAATCCAAGTCTTTTTTTCTCCAGACTAAACAAGCCATGTTTCATCATTCGATTCTCACAGCATCTTCCGCTTGCATGGTGTTCAAGATAGCTTCCAATTTGTCAGTAATTTTAAGTTATAGTGCCCAAACATATACATACTCATCAACATTTCTCACAGTCGGCTCTTTACTTATATTAATGCTATCTCCATCTGCATCTGATTTGTATTTCAGTGTTAGTGTCAACTTGTCATCTAAAACCCCTAAGACTTCCATAGGAGCTGTCAGGGCTTCCCCAGTCTAAGATTGTGTGAAGGATCTGTTCTGGGTATGTTTTTCTTGAAAAAAAAAAAAAATCTGGCCTTTGTGTTTGTCTCTATTTGCTATTATCTTACTACTTCAATGTTAGCATACTGTCCATTTGAGATTGTTTGGCCATTAAAAGTTTGATAATAATATCTTCTAAGTCTTCATTTGAACTGCCAGTAAAGGAGTTGAATGCATGAGACCTATAGTTTATATATACTGTAGAACTCTGCTCTGTTCAGTGAGGCACCCCCTACCTGCCAGCAGATTCCCTTTATGTGTAGTTTTCAGATTCAACTCATAACCATTAAACATCTGTGCAGAATCTCATATCACAGGTTTTGATATAATCAGAAGAATATTAGAGACTATGCTGATATTTCCGTTCCTGAATTGAATCAAAATACTCTATGTAGAGTTGGTCATAGAGAAGAGTAAAATGACTGTCATGATTTGGCAACCCACAGTAGACCTGTGCAGGATATTACAAACCACCCTTTCCTGTTGAAAATCTAACAAAATATTGCCAAGACACAATCTCATTAGTGTTTGATTTCCAGAATCTACCATTCCTTCTTTAAATAATTGATAAAATATTTTTCCTTTGCTCCATCCACCTTCTATAATTTCTCAAAAATCACTAGCCATGGTGCCAGTTTCTACATCTATGTTCCAACATGGGATGGGATTTGTCTGGGTCCAAAAGCTGGAATTTATTTTAAATGATTAGATGTTTATTCTAATATAACTAATATAATTCCTCATTTTCCACCCTCAATTTAGTTTCCTTTCATCCTTTTTTGGTGTACTCTTTAAAGTTCTCCTAGATAGAGAAGTCATAAGACAGCAGACAGTTTTGTCTCTTCTTTAACATCTATTAACACTAAACCAGTGGTTGTCAAAGTGTGGTCCCTAGATCGGCAGTGTTAGCATGACCTGGGAACTTAATAGAAACTGTGGAGTGGGGTACAGGAACTAGTTACAAGCCATCCAGGTAATTCTGATGCATGCTAAAGTTTGAAAACTACTGTATTAGACCGCCCTCCCAAGGTATGATCTCATCCCTTCAGTATTCTTCTTTTTTGTTAAATTACTTATTTTTTTTCCCAGTTCTCATTGTATTCTGGGATTTAGCATTCCTAATACAGATTATATTATTAGAAAATATTTTCTCTATTGTTTTTATTTTCTGTTCTTATTTTTGATTGGTGCCCTAAAATTTTAACTGGGGTCATCAGAAGCTTGCTTCTGAGATTTTCTAGAGATGTTTGCCCATGTTGAAGTATATTCAAAGTCTCAATTCATGTGCTCTGAATTTTTCTCTAAATTTTGTTGAAATTCACTCAGATGATTTTTGTTTGATTTTTATTAGCATTTCACTACTTGATTAGTTTTTCTCAAAAATTCCATCACTTCAACATCATATTTTCATGTGTAGGTGATATGGATTATTTTATGTTGCATATTCAAAATTTGGATATATAATTTAAGCAAATATAGAAGGCAGGCATATCTCTCATATTGAGTAGACAACTTCATAAGAAGAATTATTTTTCCCCAAATATTGGATATATTAAAAATTTCACTAAACATGGCTAGGCCATTTGATAAAAATATGTTTACTATAACTATAAATCATATTACATTTGTACAAAACTGAATATATCTTGCACAAATTCAGATTATGAAGTCAACACTCAGCCAGTCCATAGCTCACTTGGGAGAGGGTGGTGCTGACAACACCAAGTCAAGGGTTAAGATCCCCTTACTGGTCATCTTTAAAAAAAAAAATGACGTCAACACAGTATTGACACTTTCTTTACAGTTTACTGTATATTAATGAAAGTATATAATTATATTTACATCTTAATGCAATATGAAAGTTTCCCATTACTCACCTTTCAATTTTACTGCTATAAACTTTGGATTAATTTTGTATACAGTTAAGGATTTAAACTATTCTTCCCTGCATTTGTCCCCCATGTGCTCAAGTCCCAGCCCCTCCCCCACAATACTTGCTATCAGTTTCTTGTGCAAGCATGCCAATTTTCTCACAGGCTGATGTTCTTTTAGAGTCAGCTCCCACTCCCATTAGCCACTGATCAAATTGTGTTCATGTAGTTTCCCTTTCTTCTAGGAAGTCATACAGTATGCAGTCTTTTGAGTCGGCCTTAGCATAATTAACCTTGTGAGACTTGTTCATGTTCATGGTTAAATAATTTTTATTACTTACTGGTATTCCATTATATCAATATATATCACAGTTTATCCTAAAGTTCACTATTTGAAAGACATTTGGGTTGTTTACAATTATTGCCGATTATGGATAGTGCTACTATGAACATCTGCATACAGGTAAAAAAAAATTCTTCCCTGAATTTGGAGACATTTTAAAAGTTTTTTATTTGTATTATCATTGAATCTATTCATTTAGCATACTTTGCCTCTTAATATTTTTGTGTATAATCATTCCTTGAAACCACAATTCATCACTGATCTATTATTTTGAGAGGTTTGGAAATAACTACTTAAAAATGAATTATTTGACTGTTTTTTTACATATAATAGTTGAATATAAAAAGCCACAAGCAAATTATGGATTAATTTTTAAAAATGTAGATTTAACATTATTTTTAGTGTCTGAAATAAAGAGGCAATAATACAATAACTAGATACAAAATCTCTAAAGTTAATAGATAGTACATTAATGATGCATGTTTTGAAATAATTGTAAAGACTTCTTTGTAATAGGGAAAGGAATTCATAATCTTCTATTTTCCAACTTCTGCTTTAATGAGTAATAATTATGATTCTATTTGAAAATTGGATAATGATAGGTAAAATTTACTATATCTGAAACTTTCCATGAGGAGACAATAAACCAAATATTTTACAGTTATCTATGCCTAATGAAATTTTAAATGACAATTGGGTTGCTCTGCTTTGTAGATAGGTCAAGCACTAGGTGCATGCATTGAGCCAGTTCTCACACAGTGCAATTCTGTGTTCTTTCAATACCAAAGTTACGAAGAATATTTCTTCAGAATTTTATTCTTTCATAGTCCTCGAAACTGACAGCTGTTCATAACTGAACAAGCTTTGTTATTCTACCTCTATTATCCATAAAATATGGCTTTCTTTTTATACAGAAGCAAAAAAAAAGAAAAAGAAAGAAAAAAACTAAAATATATTTGATAAAGAATTCTGAACTCTTTTGTTGATTGGTTTGTTTTTGTTTGGTTTGGTTTGTGTTTTTGTTTTGTTCCTTTTCATACTATGAGTTATCATCATACACTTTTTTTTCTAAATCACTGTTTTTCAGGCTTAAAATGGAATGGAGTTTTCAGAGGCTCATACAGTTTTTTTCTGCTTAAACTCACTTGGCAAGTTTAATATCCTCTCAAGGGCATTCAAGCATATGGATTTATCTTGTTTAAAAATTCCTTTTTTAAAAAAATATGGAGCTGATCATGATACTTTTGAATCCTGTATCTACCTGGACCATATGGACTTCAATGAATAAATGCTTATTAATTTTCAATAAGTATAATTTTTGGAGGGATTTCTGATCCCGTACAATAAAGTTCTTATCAGTTACCTCTTTCAAGAAATACTTTAATAAATACAACTTCTAGAAAACTTTAAGGAAAAGGCCTTTAAGAAAAAATAAAATTCATGTGAATGTATCTCTAATTTTATAAAAACCCTTTGGAGTAGATTGATGGAGAAAACTTTTCTTATAATCTAACTTTCCCCTGTAAAGTTATGTGGAGTTGTTTAAGGACAGGGCACTGAGATTTTTGAAAGCTCATTAATCAGCTTTCAGATATGCCTTGGCTATGGGCTACCTGAGATCTATGACAGCATAACAGAATCAATAAAGAGTGATCAAGTAATCTAGACTAAGTACAAGCAAGTAGGTGGGGGTGGGGGGAAGAAGACAGAATAACCACAAAAATTCCTTGAACTATTTAAGTCAAGTGCACAGATACAATGTGGGCGGGGGAAGGAAGGGGGTGGAGAGGAATGGGTAAAGGGGCATGAAAATCAAGTACAATGTATTTTGAGAAGTAAAATTAAATTAAATTAAATTTTAGAATATAAAGGTTAATCACTCCCCCCCAAAAAAAATTGTTTAGTAGGAAGAGAGACAATAGAATATAATAATAAAAAATAAACACACACTAATTTCCTTTTATGAATTCTTATATTCTAATTCACAGTTATTCATAAGGATATTGGCCCTTGCCGAGCAGCAACAATAACAGGAACACTCTCCAGGATTTCTCTAAATGATGATGAAGAAGAAAAGGGAACGAACCCTGAAGGACTAAGCTATTCAACATTGCCTGGAAACGTCATTTCCAAAGTCATCATCCAGCAACCCACAGGCCTGCACATGCCCATGAGTATGAATGAGCTGAGCAATCAATGTTTGAAAAAAGAGAATACTGAATTGCGGAGAACTGTGTACTTATGCACGGATGATAATTTGAGAGGGGCTGATATGGACATAGTCCACCCTCAAGAAAGAATGATGGAAAGTGACTATATTGTGATGCCCAGAAGTTCTGTAAATACCCAACCATCAATGAAAGAAGAAAGCAAAATGAATATAGGCATGGAAACCTTGCCGCACGAAAGGCTATTGCACTACAAAGTGAATCCTGAATTCAATATGAATCCCCCTGTAATGGACCAGTTCAATATGAACTTAGATCAACATCTTGCACCCCAGGAACATATGCAGAATTTGCCCTTTGAGCCTCGCACAGCTGTAAAGAATTTCATGGCCTCTGAGTTGGATGATAATGCAGGACTATCAAGAAGTGAAACTGGATCAACAATATCAATGAGTTCTTTAGAGGTGAGCGATAGGAGGTTAAATACTTCCTTGATATTTGAAATACATGTAGATAGATAGGTACTAGATAGATAAGTTCATGTGACACGAGTTGAGAGAGAAGACTCACGTGCTTTTGCAGTTATGTATCATATAATAACATGGCATGCTGAGATTAAGTTTCAGGACATAGAGTTTTTCCAGTACGGCACTAGAATTCCCTCATTCAAGATCATATCTTTTTTTTTAATGGACCCACTATATTTAAGAAGATACCTATTAGTCATAATTCTGTCATAATAGGAATCAAGTTGGGCACTCAGAGAGAAAAAACAGAAGTTTCTCATGATGTTTTCAGCACTAGAAGTCCTTTTGGTGGGTAAAGTAGTATCTGTATGGCATTACAAACCTAAACCAAGACCTGGATTTTCTGTGTAAGGGCAACTGTTAAAAATAAAAGTGGAATGTTTCTCTGAGTTCCATCATTACACTGGTTATAAATTCTAATTATTATGACATTAGATCAACATTGTTCAGAGTAAATGTTTTGCTCTTAACTCTTACAGAATGATGACCACTAAAATTTTTAGTCTCAAACTATGAATTGTCAGAAAAGATATAATCTGAGCATGCTAAGAGTTAGGACTCTGAGGTCCAACACATAAGAACACCAGAAGTAAAAAAGTACATTTTTCTCAGCTTCTTTTCTGCCCACACGATATCATTTATGTTGTATTAGAAGTAACCAAGTAAGATCCCAGGAATATAGTATCTTATTTTCTATTGACATATATCCTGTTACTGATTTGTATGACTTTTATATCCTCTACCTTGAAGTTTTGCTGTAATCAGCTTCTTTTCTGCCCACACGATATCATTTATGTTGTATTAGAAGTAACCAAGTAAGATCCCAGGAATATAGTGTCTTATTTTCTATCGACATATATCCTGTTACTGATTTGTATGACTTTTATATCCTCTACCTTGAAGTTTTGCTGTAAACCTGCTGCTGATATACATTTTCAGTATACAATGCAACACATGTATTCTTTCATACATATTGCAAATTGTTTTAACATAATAGATGATCGCATAAAACACTATTTAGAAAAAGGCACTATAACTGGTTGCCTGTCCTTTACATCAAAGTTATGCTTATAATTGTATGTTCCAGTGTCCAGAAGTGCCTAGAGGCAATTGTTCCTTTTTTCTCTCCAAAGCCATTCTCTCCACTATGTCAAAATGATCCTGAGAGGCCAAAGAAACATGTTGAATAGTGCAATTTTAAGGTTTTTCTCAACTGGATTGAGGAAATTCTAGAACCAAATAGAAATGCAGCTAGGATCTAGAATTAATCCATACAATCTGGATCAACCTCAAAAAGAATAGGGTTTCTGAGTATAACTAGGTCAGAATTATTCCTCAGAACCGAGGATGGATAGGGGCAGTGAGAGCAAGTTTACTCCAGAGTGGCTGGAGCTTCCCTCTGGACAAAAACACCCGTCCTTCTGAATTAGCAGAATAGCTACTGTTTCCCTGTTATCACTTGCATATCCCAGAGAATAGCAGGTCTACTACAATAAAAGCCGCATAAGCACAAACTACAGAATATTTATGCAAAATCACCTAAGTTTTTAAGAGGATTTTTAGTGAGTGTGCATGTAATAACATAACATCATAAGTAACCATATGGGAGTTTTCTATATAGAATGACTCTTTTAAATGTGCTAAAGAGGTTTGAATGGAATTGCATTAAAATATTTTGGTTGTTATAAAAATGTTTTACATCTAAAAGCCTAAAAATCTTGCTGGGTTTGATATTGTACAGGTTATGTGTGCTTGAACAATAGATGGTATTTCCAAGTCCTGCTTTGTTCAGTTTATATTTTTTCCAAATATCTGTCTCCTTATTATTAAGTATAAGCATCATGTATACTGTGATTCAGTCAAAAGATCTGCATTTAAATGACTTAGAGGTCACAAGACTTTCATCTTGAAAAGGAAGAAAATTCAGGATTCAGAATGAAAATTCGGCTCCTCATTTTTATTCTTTAAAACAGTTTAAGGGGCCAGCCCGGTGGCGCACTGCGATAGTGCACCGCTTGGGAAGCGCGGCAGCACTCCCGCCGAGGGTTCGGATCCCACATACAGACCGGTTCCCGCTCACTGGCTGAGCGAGGCGCAGGAGCAACGCTGAGGGTTGCGATCCCGTTGCCGGTCCCGGTCCGGTACGGGGGCGTGCTGGAGTATCAACAGGGAGAGCAGGGATCAACAGTGGACAGGAGGTGCCTTGATTCTTAGGAGAAAAATATGAAGATGAAAGTGGGTAAATACATGGAGACAAGCGCTGGAGTATCAACAGGGAGAGCAGGGATCAACAGTGGACAATAGGTGCCTTGATTCTTAGGAGAAAAATATGAAGATGAAAGTGGGTAAATACATGGAGACAAGAGGCCTAGTCATTAGAGCAATTTGAGTCATTTCCCCACTGAGTGAGAAGGAGATTAAAGCCACAGGAACATCCAGCCAGAGAAGCTGGCACAGCAGAGGATGGCTGGTGCCTCGGGATCCTTTCAAGCATATAATAGAAAGATGTTCATACTAACTCAGAAATTTGCCTCCAGAGGAGTAGGTTTTCACAAATTGCCAATATGGGAAGTGGTGGAGGGACAAAAAAGAAGAGGACAAAAGCCACTAGTTGTAGCACAGAATGTGGTATTCTTGAGAAAAGTGCAAGAGAGAAAAAACAAGAGGGAGAAAAAAAGAAAGCCAAAGAAACTTGAGTGGGTGAGTGGGTGGACGTATTTATTCAAATAAGCAGGAGGCAACAAAGAAAGAGGGAGGCTCCCCAGCCCCGAAGGCAATGCCAGCAGGAAAGGCTCCAGCCTTCAGGGGAGTTTGCTCTGCTAACCCCCAATTATTGGGTAAGAAAAGTTTAATAAATTCATGAAGTTTCTTGGCATAAAAGTATATCCAGATTTCTTCGTGCCTAATATTACCTTGTTTCTCTCTTTCTTATAATGTGTTATCTTCCCAATGGTAGTCATTCCCCGAATGCACTTGTTAAACAACCTGAAAACTTTAGATTTAGAGTTTCCACACTCACTGAATAATTGCAGTATCGATATGGCAGAATTTTTCACAACAATGGCTTCATCCCTAGATATCTTCTAACTGATTTGCTGAAGGTTAAGAAGAATGAAACTGGCATCAGCATTGCAGCCATTCACCTTCAGTTAAGGAGCAAAATGTGTTGAGCACATGGTGTGTCCATAGAGAAAACAAAACACTGGGGTTCTGCTATGGAGCAAGGGGGACAAAAGAGATACCATGGTTCTCAAGCACTTGAGGTCTATGAAATCTACTTTAAATCATGGGTTGTGGTCCTATTTATTTATTTATTTTCTGGAGAATTACAGGTGTTTCATGGTAAGAAGACAGGTCAGTATTTATTTTGAATCATTAAAACAATGATGTTTATTTAACAGTTTATTTATTAAGTGATAAACACTTTCTCACTCAAAGGTCTTCCCCACTTAAGTGCATGTCCTGGGCCTGTTTGGCACATGATCCACTCTTCACCTTTTTCCCTGTATCACTCAGGGTTAGTACAGGTTCATGTGTCACTGGCTGGGTTATCTACCAGGAAGCACTGGTGAGAGACTGGAAGTTGGAGAGAAGAGAGTAACCTAGCATGTTTCTCCCCTGCTTTGGGCAGCACCTCGTGTCTCTTTAGCTGTAGCTCCCACAGTGTTTCTAGCTCTGCCAGGTACCCTAACCCTTGGCCTTACATCACCCTACCATCTCCCTCGGTCCTTCCAGCCTTGTGGGTATATCAGCTTTTTCTGCCAGTCCCTGGGTTACCTCACAGTCCCCTATGTGGCTTCTCAGCTCTTCTAACACTTGAATTCTTGGGGAACATCTTGCTCAAATACAAGTACTTTCTGTTGTTCTGACCAATCTTACCTTCATTGTTCTCTTCAATAAATAAAAATCTTGCTAACTGTTAAGGCTTAGATAGTACATTTCAAAATCATTTTACCAAAAACAGAAAGTTTTGTTGCTCTATCTTTTCTATTTTTGTATAAAATTACCTACATATCTGAAAACATTCTTAAATAAGTCTCTCAATTTATAAATGGGTAGAAAGAGACACCATTCTTTTTTTTTTTTTTTTGTCTTTTTGTCTTTTTCCGTGTCCGGCAACGGATCGCAACNGAAAAAGAAAAAAAAAAAAAAAAAAAAAAAAAACAGTTTAATAGTTAGTAATTGCTTAGGGTGACCATTTTGGGAGACAGCTGAAAGAGAATATATAGATACAGGAGTTAATAATAAAAATTAGCATTTATACAACGTCTTACATTACCAGATTCTCAAATCACCTTAAAACATGAATTAATCTTCACAACACCTCTGTGCAATAGATAAGATGTTATAATCCTTGAAGTAAAGTAATTTGTTCAAGGTTACAGAGCAAGTGCATAGCAAGTCTACAAGCAGAATCTTTCTGACCTGATCAATTGTATGCTGTCTAGAAGAGACAGCGATGAGCCTGAACATTTGCTTGAAGGTAACTTTGAAGTTCTTTTTATCCCTTGACAGATACTTGGTCTTATGGTGAAAAAAAGACATGAAATGGAAAAGGCTTTGTCTTATAAGCACGTAGAACTAACAAATTTTAGAGATGGGACTGTGGTCCATGAAGATAAAGTGATGCATTGTCAAGTAGGATTGTTAATTCTGCAAGATTTTATCTACAGGTCAACTAGTGAGGAAGATGATACTCTGACAATAACAGAGGAAAGACAGAAAGATGCTGGAGTATCAACAGGGAGAGCAGGGATCAACAGTGGACAGGAGGTGCCTTGATTCTTAGGAGAAAAATATGAAGATGAAAGTGGGTAAATACATGGAGACAAGAGGCCTAGTCATTAGAGCAATTTGAGTCATTTCCCCCACTGAGTGAGAAGGAGATTAAAGCCACAGGAACATCCAGCCAGAGAAGCTGGCACAGCAGAGGATGG